TTAGGTTAGATCCTGACATTGTCATTTTTTTTTTGAGAGGTTTTTGCTATAGGACACATGCGCTCACCAGAAAGGCAGAGAGAGACAGAGAGACAGAAAGTGAGAAATCACCCCCCCCAGGGGTGATGGCCACACCGTGATCCCTTCTCTTCCATTCTCCTCTCAGGATCTTGGGCACGCACACACACACACGCGCCCAGCATGAGTTTAAGTCACTGGGTCCGGGCCTCGAACCGCAGTCAACTACATGGGAGTCCAGCGACATAGCCATTACACCAACTGCTGGTCCCGTGGCTTGCTTTTTCACTCCCCCCACCCATCTCTGGTGAGCACATGTGCCCTGTACCAAACTGAAGAATAATGGTAATAATAAATGAAATTAAGTAAATCATTACAAATTTTAAAATTAAATTAAGCTTTAGTCGTAGAAATTATGATGCAATCAAATAAAGGATTACTTTCCCCAGAGGGAATGGCCATGCTGCAATCCCTCTCCTCCATTTTCCTCTTGGGATTTTGGGCACAGATGCACACAGCATGATTTTCAAGTCGCCAGGTTTGGGGCTTGAAGCACAGGCATGTGGGAGAATAGTGCCTTAACCACCACGCCACCTGCTGACCCCCAAAGGATTAACTTTTTAAATAGAGAAAAAGCTATATATACAAAGATGTTCATTGTGACATTATCTCTAACAGTGAAAAATTAGAAACTGCTCATTCTTTTTTTAAATTATTTAATTTATTATTATTTTTTTAATTTGCTATAGAGCACATGCACACACCAGAGACAGAGAAAGAGAGAAAGGAGAAAGCAAGCTGCCAGGTCCAAGGTGTAATCAGTCATGCGGGATTCCAGTGCATTAACCACCACACCACCTACAAGTCCAGAAACTGCCAATTCTTTTTTTTTTTAAAGAATTATTTTAACTTCATTTATTATTATTATTTTCCAGTTTGATCAAAGAGAGACAGAGAGAGAGGAATTGAGAAAACAAGCCACCAGGTCTGAAACTTGAACCGTGGTTGGCCCTGTGGGAGTCCAGCACCTTTAACCACCATGCCACTTGCCGACCCTGAAACTGCCAATTCTTAAGCAGTGTATGCATCAGACACTACTAAGCTAGGCCATGAAAACTCTGTAGAGTTGAATAAGATATAAGACGGTAATATCAGCAAGGTCACAGAATGCAAATTTATTTTAAAACAGATTTTTGCTATAGGGTGCATACAGTCACCAGAGAGACACAGAGAGAGAGATAGAAAGTGAGAAATCACCCCCCAGGGTGACAGCCATGCCACAAACCTTCTCCTCCATTCTTCCCTAAGGATCTTGGGCACGCACACACATTTACCCAGCTTGCTTTAAGCTGCTGCGTCAGGGACTCGAACCACGGTCGACTACATGGGAGTCCAGCAACATAACCATTACACCATCTGCTAGTCCCAGAATGCAAAAAATGTAATCCCAAGAACTGTTACCAATTAAGAGTAACACTGTCACAAGATCATTCGATCGCACTCATGAATGTTGGTCATGGTGGGGTATTTTAGTATGTTCTGCCCATTGAGGTTGACAACGGGAAAATGACCTGTTCTAGAGTAACAAGTCCCACGTGTCTCAGCATAGACACCCCCCCCCATATCACTAATTCACATCTCCACTGCGAATGGCCCAAAGGTCTATTTCTCATACCTGAGGGATTTGAAAACAGATTCAAGCACCAACAGCAGGGATAGCTCAGGTCCTGAGCATTCTGGGGCTTAATGGAGAGAGGGAGGGCCAACTGGGTATGGCAAGGAATATGGGCAGAATTTCCTATAAAACATAGAAAGGAAAGCAAGCAATAGGACCTAAGGAGGTCCCTCCTAGCTCAGAAAAATTGGGTTTGAGACTGAGTTCTACTACTTACATCCTGGAAGTGTGCCCTTGGGCAAAATCAGAGTCCTGTCATATCTTCATTCATAAAGTGGGGCTCTTGCAAAAATCAAGGAAGATAATGTGTGGCAAAATGCCTTGTAAAGTAGAATGTACTATAAAACATGGAGGCTTACTACTGGATTACTGCTAGGAGTGAGGGACTAGTTAGGGAGAGGCACCAACATTCAGGGAGTGCCGGGCACCAGTGGATGACATAATGGATATATTGCTTGGCTCCCACGTAGTCGACCGTGGTTTGAGTCCCAGACCCAGTGGCTTAAAACTCAGGCCGAGGGGGGACTAGCAGGTGGCACAGTGATTAAGGAACTGGACACTCCCACATGGCCGACCACAGTTTGAATCCCAGACCTGGTGGCTTGCTTTCGCACCTTCTCTCTCTCTCTCTCTCTCTCTCTATCTCTCTGTGCCTCTCTCTGGTCAAGTTAAAAATGAATGAATGAATAAATAATATTTAAAAAAAAATAAAACAACTCAGGCTGAATGTGGGTGCGTACCGAAAATCCTGAGAGCAAAATGGAGGGGAAGGGTTTGTGGCATGGTCATCGCCCTGGGGCGTGATTTTTTGCTTTCTGTCTCTCTGATGAGTGCATGCGCCTTACAGCAAAAATTTCTCTCAAAAAAAAAAAAAATTTAGGGAGTGCCTAGAGATTGACACGTTTCTCATTTAATTCTCCCCACATGTCAGAAGCAACAGTCCCCCATAAAATGATTTCTCCCACCTACTCTACTCCCCAGACACTGAGAGCCAGTTGGAGGGGTAAAGTACACTGCCTGAGGTCATATGTGGAGCCTGGGCTAGACTGCAGTGTAAATTCAGGCTTGCCCTGGGTTCCAAACCCTGCGCATTTTCTTTGATACTGTGCTTGGAAACTAAACATGAGAACAGAGGGCTTGATGGGGATCTAGAACAAAAGAGGAGGTGGATAAGAGGAATGGGGCAGGAAATAGGACTCACGCCAGTGAAAACTGTCATCCTGAAAGCACAGGGCCCAGTAGGGGGGAAAAAAGAGAAAGGCATTATTAGTGGGGCCTCCCATAAGGAACATTCTCCCTGCAGTCTTTGCCTCAAATCACCTAATTCTGAGGTCCATAGTTAACAACCCATCCACCCTGGCTCTTCCCAGCTCCTCCCTGTCCTGACTTCTGTGCTCCAACACCCTGGTTACCCATTCAAGACCATGTAGAGGATACTCTGAGACTGTCACCTGAGCCTGGAGACTGGGGAGGCAGGAAAAGGCAAGCAGGGGAGCAGGGAGCTTTACGCCTGTGCCAGGCTGATGTCCCCACCCGGCAGTGGTATCTAACCACACGGGAGGCCAGCAGATGGCAGGTGCTCCTGGAGGGCAGGTAGGGGCTGCCAATCCCAGCAGCAACAGAGGGACTGATGAGCAGCAGGAGATGTAGGAGCAGAGCGGCTGGTCTGGAGCTCCCCATGGGCTTCTGTGGGATTAGGGCACCTACAACACAACTGCACAGCCTGAAGATGGGTGGCAGGGCTTTTTGTGCAGCAGCAAGGAAAACAGTGCCAGCAAAAGCCCTTGTCTCAACCTGCCCTGCCCCACACCACCCTACCCCACCCTGCTCCAGAGCTCCTCCTTCATCTTCATTAGCCTGCCAGGCCACATTCCTTCCCCTGAGGGACTAAGGGAGCTTGTTCCCCCCAAAATCCTAGGGCCTCCACCTGAAAGATAAGGGACTCCTGCTGTGGCACAGAATTAACGGAAGGCACCAGCATCAGGGTGGGGTGTGCACCATTTCTCAACCACTCCTATTCCTGAAACAGCCAGCAGATCTGGCCTGTTCCCTCCATTGATTAGCACACACTTGAACTTGGGTCTCCTGTGGACATGTGCTTGATCCCCTCACTTAGAGAATGAACAGAGCCATTAAGCACTACTCAGCACGGGGTGCTAGAGATACAGAGGTGACAGAGGCACTATTTACAGCTGGGAAAACAAGTCACCATAGGACACATATAAACCTCAAAGGCCCATATGTACCCTGGCTCTCTGCATCTGGCTGCCTTTCAGAACTACAGCCCAGCTTTCTCCCCCTCCCTATTAGCCAGTTCCAGCTCTCATGGGCAGAGGCATCCATGTCACAGGGACTCCAGCCTCAAGATCCCACTTGTCAGCCTGTTCAGGAAGCCCCAGAGCTCATAGCCAAGCCCTGGAGTGGAGGGACAGGGCCTCATGCGCTGACCTGGTTTCCTGTGGTTTCCAGTGCTGGAGAAAGGCTGACGACACTCCAGCCTTTATGGGGACCCTCCCCTGCATGGAGCATTTGAGCTGTCTCAGCCCTCACCTTGTTGACATGATGGAAAAAAAGATTGATGCACATTTACTGAGTTGAGGCATCTTGAGATCATTACTGTCCCTCTACAACTCAATCTAGACCACCTTTCAGTAGCCTGCCTACTGCCTTCCTTTGGTAGATTCCATTTCTAACTCTTTGAGTCCACCCACCGTCTAAAGGTCCTATCCTACCTATTATCCTAAAAATCCTCTCTAGGTTTTCAGTTCATTAAAAGATAGACTTGAACCATCTACAGCCATGGCTGGACTAGAGGCTGCTTTCCACAGCTTGGGTGCCTTATCCAGAGCTGGGGTGTTAGGCTTGGCAACCTATGGGGTGCACAGCACTCTATTTCTGGATGCTTACTGAAAGAAGCTCTTTGAAAACGCCAACAAGCACCACTTCTTTCTCAGCCTGGCATTGTTAGGGGTGTCCCACTGCAGAAAGCCCCTCTGGGCCGGTTTACTGCTAGCCTCTGGATCCACCTTATTCTGCACCAGCTTTTACTACCAGCTTCTGAGTGGAAACCCCAGCTTTAAGACCTTGGCTCCTGTGGGAGGGAGCCTGCTACTCTTGGACTGGCTTGTTTTGGGTCTTTAAGCTGCTTTTTGTATAATTACTGGGTTTTCTGAGTAATTTTTTGAGAGTTGGAGCAGAAAAGAGGATTAAAAGAGAAAGGCAAAGAAAAAGACTCTTGGGCCAGTGCCATAGCAGTGATTATGTGCTATACATAGAAAGCTGGACCCCACATAGCCAACTGTGGTTTGAATCCTAGACCTAGTGACTTGAGAAACATGCTGGGCACACACACGTGTGTGCATGCCCAAAATCCAGACATAATGGAGAGACAGAGGAAGAAGGATTGCGGCATGACCATGCTCCACTCCACGGTGTCTCTCTCTGTCTTTCTGGTGAGCGCACGCACTCTATAGCAAAAATGTTTCCTCCCAAAAAAAGAAATGTAAAGACTCTTTTTTTTTTTTTTTTTAATCTTTTGCTACAGGGCACATGTGCTCACTTGAAAGAGAGAGAGAGACAGGGAGACAGAAAGAGAGAAATCACCTCCAAGGGGGGATGACCATGCTGCAATCTCTTCTCCTCCATTCCCCTCTCGGGATCTTGGGCACACCATGCATACGCGCCCGGTGTGAGTTTAAGCCACCGGGACATGAGCTGCGGTCGACTACATGGGAGTCCAGCAACATAGCCATTACGCCAACTGCTAGTCCTAGACTCTTTTTTTTTTTTTAAGAATTATTTTATTTAACTTTCTTTCTTTCTTTCTTTCTTTCTTTCTTTCTTTCTTTCTTTCTTTTATTTGGTGGGGGTGAGGGTAAGGGGGAGAGGGAGAGAGAGAGGGAAAGGGAAAGTGAGAAAGCAAGCCATTAGGTCCGGGACTCGAACCATGGTCAGCTATGTGGGATTCCAACACCCTTAACCACCACACCACTTGCTGGCCCCCTAAAAACTCTTTCTTATCCTTTGTGTTTCCCCAGTGCCTAGCAGTGGGTGTCATGAACTACATGCTCTGTGGTCAAATAAATGTAAATTATTAAATTTCATCTAAGTAGTTGATCAATTTCACATTTCACAGAGCACTTCCATATATGATCCACCTAGCGACCCTGTGAGTCAGTTAAATGAAAATTAATATTTTCATTTCATAAAGAGAGAAATAAGGAAGCAGAAGGAAAGGCAACTTGGACAAGGTCAAAGTCTGTAACCCAGGGAACTCCACTTCAGTTAGGCCCTTGCAACTCAATCCTCTTTTATCCCATGGTATCCCAGCCTACTGCCTCATCTTCCTTTGCTCTTAAAACCAAAAGGGTCTGCATGACACAGGACTGTTTTTCTTCCTTGAAGCCCTCTCTATAATTAAACCATTAATATCTGAAGGGAACAAAGGGTGACCTGGCCATACTAAGAATGGGTTAGGATATCAACAATAATGTTGAATGTTAACTTCCAGGATTTAAACAGAAAGATCAGACACTGCAAATTCAACAAAAGAGAGATTACATGAGACTGAACTGGTGAAATAGAATTCTATGACTTTTGACTAAAACATTACTAATTTTCTTCTATGCTTTGTCTTCCGGATTTAAGGATTTTTATTTTCTTTTGAGTTGTCGATAGGTTCAGCAATCTGTTATTATTTTTTTAATTGAAACAAACTTTTCACCATTCCTGACCCCTCTGCAATTGGAAAATATTTGTGAGCATTCTTATTTTGTGGTAGAATGGTTATTTATATTAGTTCAATAATGCAATACCTTGTATCAGAAATTAAACTCTTATGGGGCTTTGTGCAATTAACAGACCAAACTGAAACTATCCTTTTTTTTTTTTTTTTTTTTGCAAGTAAGTTAGTTTATACTTCTCTTTAGTAAAAGGGGGAATAGAGATAAAAAAGAAAAAGTTTCAGAAGAAAATTACAGTGCACTTGTCACTGAATTTTAGCTTTGTCCATATTTTTAGTTTAAGATCTTTTGTGAATCAATAAAATGTGAACAAAAAGTTTAGTATGGGAGGGAGGGGTAAAAGGAAGAAAAAAAGGTAAAAGTACATTTAACTGACAAAAAATGAGAAGTTATTTGCTGATGATAATGTATATAGTAATATCTTTGTCTTGACTGATATGCAACATTGCAATCCTTTCTACTAAGTCTCCTCAAGATTTTGGGCATGCATGCACACATGCCTGGAGTGACTTTTAAGTCACTGGGTCTGGGACTCAAACCATGCTGCTGGCCATATGAGGTTTAATACTTTAACCTCCACCCCACCTGCTGGCCCTTATTACCCCATTTTACAGATTGAGAAATACTTTTGAACATTAGGTAACTTTCCAAACACACATAGCTAGAATTGGAAAACAGGGGCCCACCGTCATGTCTTTTTTTGGGGGGGAGAGGTTTTCGCCATAGGGCGCATGTGCTCGCCAGACAGACAGAGAGAGACATAGAGACAGAAAGCGAGAAATCACCCCCCAGAGGGGATGGTCACGCCGCAATCCCTTCTCCTCTCAGGATCCTGGGCATGCACGCACACGCGCCCGGCGTGAGTTTTAAGCCACTGGGTCCGGGACGGGAACCATGGTCGACTACATGGGAGTCCAGCGACATAGCCATTACGCTAACTGCTGGTTCCCCATCATGTCTTTTTGACTCTTTCTGTCAGAACACATTGCTTGGGAGGGCTGACAGGTGGCATCATGGTTAGGAGGGCTGGATTCCCACATGGCCAACCACGGTTTGGGTACCAGACCTGGCGGTTTACTTTCTCACTTTCCCTTTCTCTCTTTCTCTGGTCAAATAAAAAAATAATAACAAATAGAATTAAATAAATATTTTTTTTAAAAAAAGAACACACTGCTTGGAGAGATCTGTGGAAAGTCAGATTTTCTGGACCCAATAGTGCACAGAAGGTACTATATTTAGAAATGTGATATAGCTGGGAGGGTTAACAATGCAGAAAAAGAAATGGGAATGATTGGAAAGAGGTCTCATAGTAAGTTCTCAGTGGTCAGACTTCTAGGAGTATAGACTATTAGGTAGTATCAGTAAGGGTGAAGTATTTAACTCTATGGCTGGAGTAGGAGTGGCTAAATGAAGTAAAGGTAACAGAGGTGTGTTGTAGGACTTGAACGCTGAGGCCTCTCTCACCTGTGGTTTGTGTCTAAGTGAAATGGTCAAGATTTCTAATAATGGGGAACAGCAGATGGTGTAATGGTTACACCACTGGACTCATGTAGTCAACCATGGCTTGAGTCCCAGACCTGGCAGCTTAAAACTCACACCAGGTGTTGTGCATGCATCCTCAGGATTCTAAGAGGAGAATGGAGGAGAAGGGATTGCAGAGTAGCCATCCTCCCTGGAGGGTTATTTCTTGCTTTCTGTTTCTCTGGGAAGCACACATGCCCTATGCAAAAAATCTCTCTCTTAAAAAAAAAAAAAAAAAAAAAAATGATTTCTAGTAACTAATAGTCTTTACCTGGAGATAAGTCAAGCACTCAGGAGGTTCTGGCAGGCCCCTGACCATGGTTTGGTACATAGTGGGAGCCTTGGGCAGCCATTTTTGAGCAACCCATTTGTGGACTCTAGTAAGCCCACAGAGTCACAGTCCAGGATATAATGGCCAATTCCTAAGGTTCATTGAGATAATTATGCCCACTGTTAGGGTACCCTGGACAAGAAGATCCAACCAGTTAGACCACTATAAACCAAGAGTGGTTAAGTGTCCTTTCTCTACTTCCGCTCCTCCAGAAGGGATCGATCTCCAGAATTCTAGGAAAAATGATTCCTAAGAGGAGACAGTGATTCTCAACCTGAGAGGGGAAGCCAACATGCTCATCAAGTGAAGGTAATTTGACATTTATTAAGCCTCTATTATGTACTAGACTATTCATGTTATTATTAAGCTTCACAACTCTGTGAGGTAACATACTAAGTCCATGTGTCAGATCAAAACCAGAGGTTCAAGTAGTTTGCTTCAGGTAAATAGTGAAGTGCATGACTAGAATTCCAACTGCCCCAAGAGGGGTGAGAGAACAGAGAAGGGATTGCGGTGGCCATACCCCCAGGGAGTGATTTCTTGCTTCCTGTCTCTCTGGCAAGTACAAAAATTCCAACCTTGGGACCAGCAGTTAGTGTAATGGCTATGTCGCTGGACTCCCATGTAGTGGTTTGAGTCTCAGACCCGGTGGCTTAAACTAATGCTGGGTGCATGTGTGTGCATGCCCAAGATCCTGAGAGGAGAATGGTGGGGAAGGGATTATGGCATGGCCAACCCCCCGGGGGGTGATTTCTCGCTTTCTGTCTCTCTCTCTCTTTCTGGCAAGTGCACGTGCCCTATAGCAAAAACCTCTCCAAAAAAAGAAAAAAAAAAATTCCAACCTTGACAAGTCTTTATCAGAAACTGCATTCATTCCACTATATCACAGTTGTTCTCATGGACTGCATGATCTCTGAGAGTCCCTCCAACTCCTAAACTCTAGTCCTATATCAGGAAATAATGGGCCGGCCTTGTAGTACAGTGGTTAAGCATTGTGTGTTGGGAGTGGATCCCACATGTGCAACTGTGGTTTGAATCCCGACCCTGGCAGCTTGAAAAAACTCACCAGATGTATGTGTGTGTGTCCAAAACCCTGATGGGATGGAAAAATGGAGAAGGGACCGTGGCCTGATCATGCATATGTGCTCTCTAGCATTAAAAAAAAATGTTTAGGAAATAACTACTCTTTATAATGTTAAGTAATTCACAAATTGCTTTCATAATACTTCATCTTATTCAATCTGCAACACAATCTGCAAAATAGGCAGAGTTGATCTTAGCCCTATGATAAGTACATTGGTGTATGAACCCTAGTCTTATCCAAATCCAAAACCCCAGATCCAATTACAGTCTTCTTTCTACTAACTTAAGATCCAGCAGTGGGATCTTATTTGTTTTAGCTAACAGCAAAAACATGAAGCAGGGGGAAAAAATGTTAAGAAAAGTCCAGAAAATAGATCCCAAATAGTTTTGTTTTTGCATTGTTGACAATAATTTTCATAACTGGGATTCAAAAGTACTCTAAGACTGTAAAGTACCATTCTAATAACCAAAGAAATTTTACTGTTTCTTCTAAATTCTTTAAAAATTAACACCTGGTGTATGTGGTAACTCCATTACCCCCACACATTTCCACCCAATATTCTCTGTTAAGTTCTACCCTTGCTTCATTTTACTTCTAGCCTCTGTGAACTACCTCCTGATTTTAGTCTACAGCAGGGCAAGTTACTTCATTCAGTAAATTCAGAGTGTGTGCTATATGCTGGACACTGAGGAAGGGGTGTGGAAAACACATGCACACTAATAATTCTGTCAATAAATTTCAGAGAAAGAATTCTTGTTCTTTGCATCAAAGGAGCCAGAAGGCTCCAGAATTACTTTATGAACTGGATCTTAAAGCATATGTCATAATGAAATGTGAAAGTAGAAAAGAGAAAATTATAAGGAAATTGGGAAATCATGGAACCTATACGGGAATCCATGAGAGGTTCAGTCAAATAAGTGTGTGAATGGAAATATTGGATAATGCAAGACTGGTAGATTAGGATCACTTTGGAAAGTTCAGAAAGAGATTAGGACATTTAGGGTGTTCTAAAAATAACAGCACCTGACAAGGATTTAATATGGAATGGATAATGATCCAGATACTCACTGGAACACAGGGATGCAGGGCATGTGGCAGAAGGCAGAGTTATGTTTGGGGCATACTAAGTTTAATATAATTAAGACATATAGAAGTTCTTCAGTCAGAAATACTGCCATTACCTACAGTGACTGAGTAGGTACATAATGTCAATAAAACAAAAGAATGACAATAACCCTGGAGAGGGCAGAAGCTCTATAGTTGTAGATGGGGGCACCATCCAGAAATCATAAAATGAAGTGCAAATGGACACCTATCTTTAATGTAATAAATATTTACTGTGTGTTAGATTCAGATGTAAAAGGGGCCTTTAGTTCAATCACAGATCTTTCCCACTTATTTTTGTTGTTTTGCCAGAGACAGAGAGAGGGGAAGCATTTGAGGCATGGTCATGCTACAATCCCTTCTCTTCCACCTCTCCCTCCTTTCAGGATTTTGGGTGCATGTGCACATGGCATGTTTTTCGAGCCACCAGGTCCAGGACTCAAACCATGCAGCTGGTCATGTAGAATCTAGCCACTTTAACCACCAAACCACTTTTACTTTTTAACTTATCCGCTCCATACCATTAGGTACTTGGTTTGTTGGTTCTTTCAAACGTATAACATGTTTCACCTAGACTGTTAGCTCTCTATGCAGTATTTTAATGTATGACATGTAACTGACATTCAGTTAACAATGACTGATAAACAACAGTATTCAACTAAAAGATGAGCCCATAAACCAAGATAAGTAAATGAGACTGGACTGTTTATAGAGAGATTAAATGTCTGGCCCACAGTAGTTCTCACAAATCAGTTTCAGACTTGCAACTACAACGTTAAGTTCCCCACGTCCAGTTCACTTCTCTATGGCCACTGCCAGGTTTCTCAGGTACCATCTACACATTCCCTAGTATTTATTGCCACTCAAGCATCACACCTTATCAAAACACAAAGTACAGGTGGACAGGGCAGTCTTGACTTTATTGAGGTTCTTTTTCATTAAAATGCTTTGCAGTAGAGACCAAAGCCAGCAAGGGGAGTGGCTTCCCAAATGTTTCCTGCCCTAAGACCTATACATTAAAGTAGAATTTGATTTATTCCCTATCTCCTTCAGTATTGATCTCTAAAAGGTGATGGACAGAAGTCAAAAGACAGAGGAGGCAAGGATGAGGCTCAGTCTTTAAAAAAAGAAAAAAACGAACAAAAACAAACACTGAAGGGCTTCAACTTCAACCAGCTGAAGTTTGTTTCATAGCTGCTGGTTACGAGTTCTAGACATCCAGGAATAAATTAAACACCCTCTCAGTGGATGGCAACAGGAGGGGTTTTCCAGAACTTGGGCACAGTCTGCTCTAGGTGCCAACATCACAGCTGCCAAATCATCAGTGGAGACTTTAGAACAGTTCTTCTGCCTCTCTTACACCATTCACTGAGAGGCCCAGGCTTCACCCCAGAGTAGTCTATCAGGCAGGTTTCATTTACGTTTCTTCTCCTGTGTGCTGGTGAACCAAGAGTCTAGGAGCTTCTTGCTGTAGTATAACTGCCAAGCATGGACTTGGACTGCCAGTACCAACACCAGGTACATGACAGAGACAGCAGAAAAACCAAAGAGGAAGCGGTAGGCCTTGCCATGACGGTAGAGCTGCTGTGCAGCAGGAAACATCTCCATGCTGCCATAAATGAGGGGAGCGATAGAAAATAGCCCCATGCTGATCATGGAGAGCACCAGGTAGCTAATGTTGTTGCGGGGGAAGGAGAGAAGGCCCAAGAGTGAGGGCACAATACTCAGTAAATATGGGTACTCCCACTGATAGGGCATGGCCACCTGATCATGTGACATGAGTCTCAGGTGTCCCACACTCATCTTGGCAACCAGCAACAGCCATAAGACCAGATGCACGTAGATCAGCTTCTTGATTTCATACTTGAGGGTCACACTGTGGGGCAGAGCAAAGGGAGAAGTACTTTTCATTCAAATTTTTCGGACTACCAATTATGCCAGGCATGCTCAACACTGAGATACATACTTGATTAAGATACAGTCTCTGCCTAGAAGCTGGGCACAAGCAACACAAGAGGAAAAAATAAGTTAAAAAGGAAGCGAGAGAGCTCTAATAAATGTATTGGGTTATCTGGAAAGTCATGATGTATTTTTGTATAGAAAACAACAAAAATGGACCAGCAGTTGGTGTAATGGCTATGTCGCTGGACTCCCATGTAGTCGACCGCAGTTCGTGTCCTGGACCCGGTGGCTTAAAACTCACGCAGGGCGCATGTGCATGTGTGCCCAAGATCCCGAGAGGAGAAGGGATTGCGGCGTGGCCATCCCCCCTGCGGTGTGATTTCTCGCTTTCTGTCTCTCTGTCTCTCTCTGTCTGGCGAGCGCACGCGCCCTATAGCAAAAACCTCTCAAAAAAAAAAAAAACAAAACAGAAAAATATGTCATGACTTACCGACAACCTAGTATGTGCCATAATATTTGGGATCAGAGGAAGGAGAAACTGATCCTGCTTAGGATGGGATGTCAAACAAGGCTATCTAGAGAGTGATATTTGAGCTAGGCTCTCAGAGATGGGTGGATATGGGCATTCCATGCAGAGGCAATCGCATGCAGTCAAAAAGGCATAAGCATTTCTCTTCTGGGAAAGCAAGTAGTCAGGTGTGGCTAAAACACATTGTAGGGGGAAGAGGATAATGGGATATGAAATTTCAAAGATTATGAAAGTCCATTTGAAAGCATAAGAATAACTCAGCTGAGTTTAGAAGGATGACTTTGCACTATAGCACAGCCTGGAGGGAGAAGGTACTAGCAGCAAGAAAATCAACTCAAGCTACCTATACTTCTCCAGCTAGATTATTCATCTAAAGAAAGCACATATTTTTCTCTTATTCTTATCATTCTTTCAGGTCCAAATATAGCCTTCTTGTATCACCAAGAACAATGTTTCTGCTCTAGGTAGGCATGAAAACACTCACTTGGGTTATCAGGCCTCCTTAGGCAGGGGCCTAGAGGTGAGAATAAAGTGAAAGCCCAAAGAGCTTGCTATTCTTCAAAACTCCTAAGAGATCGAAGAGATCGTTTGTAAGGAACATTCTCGGGACATTTAATGGAATTAGGAAGGAAAGTTTTTTTCACTTTTATTTTTATATATTCATTGTACAAAATGTGGTAAGTAGAAAAAATAATCAGTCACCTGTAGACTTCAAGCTCCAGGAAGGCAGGGACCAGTTTTTTGCCTTTTTTACTTTTGTTTTTGTTTTGTTAATAAACTGCTATATTGAAGGTATAACATGCAAACAAAGGCCAGGTCTGCTTTTGCTGGCTAATATATCTTCCGTGCCTGAAACAATTTCTGATGAACAGAAAAAGCTCAGTTAAGTATTTATTGAACGGAAAACATAATGTAGAATTACCTCTTACACAGGAATACTTATAAAATTCACGCAATGTGCAGAAAGGGTGTTTTTTACAGTCCACATCCCCTAAACGGCCTTAAACATCAGATAGCTACCGTGTAATAGTATCCATGTGGTAGGGCTTATGCTACTATGTTCTTTGCGTTAATTATTAACTACTTCTTCGTCAAAATCTAAAAAGTAAATTATTTTCTCCCTCTGCAGGACAGGAAACCGAGGCTTAATTATAAATGAGGTTTCCAAGGTCACAGGGCAGACCCAGCATCTATGGGAAAAGGGAGGTCTAGCGGAGGGGCTCGCGGGAGCAACGGGCTTCCCGGGATTGGGGACAGGCCTGAGACTGTCATGGCAGGAGGGGACTTAGCAGCTGCGCGGGGCAGACTGGGGAGAAAGCTCCTGAGGCCGGGCCAGCGTCGCTCCCCGAAGCTCTGCAGGCTCCAGCCGCCGAGAAGGCCTCCGTGCTCCTCGAGTCACTTCATACCTCATCTGGTAGTGCATGGCGACGCGCTCCCGGTGCTGAAAATCGCTGCCATCGGTGCCGGCCGCTCGCGGGCCTGCCCGAGACGCCATTGTCCCGCCTAGAACCCCGGAGTCCCTCACGCCAAGCTGCAGCCGCGACTACCACACGAAACCGCGCCCGAACACTGTTCGCGCCGCCTCAGCTCAGCGGCCCCGCAGCTGTCCGGCTCTGTGACGAGAACTTCCGGCCTCTCTGTCTCCGGAGGACCGACTCTATGGTCATTCCCCACGCGCACGCGCGCTGTCGCCTTCTCGCCCCGCCCCTGCTGTAACTTCCTCGCGCCGGAAATGAATCCTTTCCCTTAGCACCTTCTTGGCGTCAGCCCAGGGACTCTTGAGCACTTTCACTTCTTTGAACTGTAATACGAGGTTAAGTCGCCGTTGCCCCACTTCTGAGAGGGACAAACGGATGCTTGGCAGCGTTCTGTGACTTTCCTATGAACACATTATTTACAGGGTCCCCAAAATGCCTCCCTGTAGATCATTGGTAGAACCAGAACGGTTTAGTGAGGAAACCTGGCGTGCCCTATTAACAAGTAATCAAAGTTAATTTGTCTAGTTATGAGACAGACAACTCATACCTCGTGATATACTGGGAACACAACAGCATTTTCGCAATATTCCTGCCAAAAATATGTAACTTTCATGGTGAAATAACAGATAAACCCAAATTGAGGGGAAAAATTTTTTTTGAGAGTTTTTTGCTATAGGGCTCATGAGCTCACCAGAGAGCGAGATATCACCCCCGGGAGGGATGGCCACACCACAATCCCTTTTCCACTCTCCTCTTGGGATTTGGGGCTTGCCCGCACATGCGCCCCGCGTGAGTTTTAAGCCACTGGGTCCAAGACACGAACTGCGGTCGACTACATAGGAGTCCAGTGACATAGCCATTACGCTAACTGCTGGTCCAACTTGAGGATATTTTTAAATGTTGTTGACTGTATTCATCTTTTCTTTTCTCCTCTCAATTCCAAAGCCAAGCTAGAGCCCTTCCCCGCTGCAGTGTCTCCAGTGATTTTCATGCACTAAAGAGTTTGAGATCTGTGCTCAGATACTGCCTCCCTCACTAGAGTGTGAATTTCCTGAAAGCAGGGATAAGAACTAAGTCATCTGTGCCCTCAGCAGCAAATAGTGCCTGGTGCAGCATAAAAGTTCAAGAAATGTGGAGCCAGCAGATGGTGCAGTGGTTAAGGCACTGCACTCCCACATGGCTGACCACGGTTCAAATCCCAGACCTGACAGCGTGCTTTCTCTCTCTCTCTCTCTCTTTCATCTCTCTTTGGTAAGCACATGCGCCATATACCAAATTAAATAATAATAATAATAGGGGCCAGCAGGTGGTATAATAGTTAAGTTGGTGGACTCCCACATGGCCAACCATGGTTCGAGTCCCAGACCTGACAGCTTGAAACTCAACCGTGAGCATGTATGTACGTGCCTAAAATCCCAAGAGGAGAATAGAGGAGAAGGGATTACAGCATGGCCAGAAAGTGATTTTTTTTTTAGAGAGGTTTTCGCTATAGGGTACGTGCGCTCTCCAGACAGACAGAGACATAGAGACAGAAAGCGAGAAATCAACCCCCCAGGGGGGATGGTCACGCCGCAATCCCTTCTCCTCCATTCTCCTCTCGGGATCTTGGGCATGCACGCACATGCACCCGGCGTGAGTTTTAAGCCACCGGGTCCGGGACGTGAACCGCTGTCAACTATGTGGGAGTCCAGTGACGTAGCCATTACGCTAACTGCTGGTTCTCGGCCAGAAAGTGATTTCTCACTTTCTGCCTCTCTAGCAAGCACATGTACCCTATAGCAAAAATCTCTCAAAATAAATCAATACAATTATTTTAAAAAAGAGTTTAAGGGGACCAGTAGGTGGCATGGTGGTTAAGGCACTGGACAATCCCACATGGCTGACCACAGTTCGAGTCCTGGACCTGGTGGCTTGCTTTCTCACTTTCCCTCTCTCTCTGGGCATCTCTCTGGTCAAATTAAAATAAATGAATGAATAAATAAAATTAAATAAATAATTCTTTTTAAACAAGAAAAAGAGTTTACAAAATGTTTGTAGGATAGATCAATTCTGACTGAGCCAAGTCGTCCTCTTCTCTGAAGCACTGGGAAGAACCCTCATTCATCCTCCACCCTGGCAGGTGCTTGCTCACTGTCACTTGTCCTTTTCTTGGTCTCGTCTGTGTCTATCTCTGTGATGCAAGCAGACGCTGTCAGGGCCAGATGGCTTCTGAGTCATCCAGCATGCGATATCAAGTACACGTTGGGCGTTCAGTAAATGTTTCAAGCATGAATGTCTAAGGGAGGGGCTCTCATCTTTTCCCTAGAACTTCCTTTCTGTAGAGTTTTTCTTTCCCTTTTTTTCTTTTTAGTTTGCTAGAGAGCAAGTGCACTCGCCAGAGAGAGGTAGAGACAAAGAGAGAGACAGGGAAAGTGAGACATCAACCCTCTGGGGGGATGGCCATACCAGTCCCTTCTCCTCCATTCTCTTCTTGAGATTTTAGCACACACGCACATGTACCGTGTATGTTTTCCAAGACACAAGGCCTGGGATTCAAACCATGCAATCGGCCATGTGGAATCCAACCAACTGCCTTAAACACCGTGCCACCAGCTGGCCCCTGTTTTTCTTTCTTTCTTTTTTTTTTAATAATTATTTTATTTCATTTTATGTGTTCATTTTAATTTGACCAGAGAGGGGCAGAGTAAAAGAGAGAGAGAGCTGCCAAGTCTGGGACTTGAACCATGGTTGGCCATGTGGGAGTCCACTGCCCTTAACCACCATGCCACCTGCCAGCGCCCCCCACCCCCATTTTTCTTTTTACAGTTTGTTTATTTGAATGCGCCAGAGAGAACCCCTGACAGTGTCTTCCTACCATGATCCACCCCTGCTTCAGCCAGCCCAGATCATGGGCACCAGCAGCGTGGAGGGGACTGGGGACCTCGTCTGCATGTTTTCTGTGCCCTCTGCGCCTGGTACCATGCTCTGCACCAGACCCTTTTCCAAAGCTTTCGAAACAGGCCTCTTCCCCTCCTTGCAGGCCTTTTCTGGAAGTCAAGCGGACAGGGACTCCCAAGGGTGAGAGCTGCAAACTCACACCCCATGCTCTTTTCCCCAGCTGGGGCTGTAGTCCAGGGGAGGGGTTTTGTGGGAGCTGGAAATAAAATGGAGCGAGGGTTGGGCCAGGCCGAGCATATTGCAAGGAGGCTAGGAGGCTGTGAGGGGGAGGTAAGGACATTTTTGGTTGGATGAAGTTTGACTTTTTTTTTTTTTTTTTTTTCATTTTTATTTTTGGCTCCTGGAGAGCAGGTGAGGTGGGGCTCGCTGTTTTGCAAAGGCCGGAGAGTGAGGACTGAAGCAGCAGGCTTGTGTAGCGCTAAGTGGGCAAGAAGGTTTTCTGCCTCTGTAAGGACTGGCCTGGGGAGGGGGGTCCCCCATGTTGTAGTAAGAAAGGGTGACTTTACCTAACTGGGGAGGGGGCTTTAGTTCTGTGCCAAGCCCTTGCTGTGCTGGGGGCCAGGATAGGGAGAGCATCTTAGGGCCGGGCACCCAGGATAGGGGCTGCGCAGAAACTGGCAGGCACAGTTGGCGGGATGAAAGGGTGACTCTGAGCCACCGAAGAAGACTTTTCGGAGCGGAGAGCAGTGAAGTGGGCTTCAAGGCTCCACAGTTTAGCCCTCGGTAGAAGTGAGTCATTGCACATGGAGGGAACTGTGTGTAAGGGCCTGGAGGGTAGAGGTTTTAGGAGAAAAAGTGGTAGGGTCAGCCCGGGGCTCTCTGCCTGACCTGTGCTGCCCCATATGGGTGCCAGGAATCAAGCTAGGCGACTTCACAGAATTGTTACAATTCAGTACCGTTGCAAATCCAGACTGGTCACATTTCAAGCGCGCAGTCACCACATGGGGCAAGGGGCGACGGCGGGACCAAGCCTGGACGGAGAATGTCTCCATCATTACAGAAACGCCGCTCGCTCGGCCAGGAGGAAGGCTCAGGAAGGGCTGGGGTTGCTCAAGGCCCCCCGGGGGGAAAGCCAGGCCCTGAACAAGCAGCCTGCACATGAGGTCTGCAGACTAGAGGTGAAGGAATGGTCCCAGAAGCATGAGGTGGCGTGACTCACCTCCTGCCAGCGTAGAGTGGACTCTGCCCCTGGGGACAGGAACAACCCGGGCAGGGCCTCTTTAGCCCCGACTTGGGATCCCTGCTCAGTGTGACCGGAGCCGGGGCAGAGCAACATGGAGTGAGTGGTGCTGGGGCAGGAGGAGCGGCTGCTGAGTGGGGCTGAGCCCGAGCACTGGGGTGGGCTGGGGGTGCCCGCTTGGTCACAGCTGGCACGCGTAGGGCTGCCCAGGAGGAGGGCTGGGGGAGGTAGGTGCGTGCTGAGGTGGGAGCCCAGGGCAGAGGCTGGCCAGGTGGGGATCAAATGACGAGAGCGAGGGGACCCTTGTCATCCACCCTCATGAGCTGTTTCTGCCTCCTTCTCAGGGCCAGCTCGGTCCAGCTGACAAGGATGGAATATGCGATGAAGTCGCTCAGCCTGCTCTACCCCAAGTCCCTTTCCAGGTGAGGAGAGTCACGGGTGGACAGGAAGGGGAGACACCTACGACCCCCGTAGGCCAGGCCTTCCCCAACTGTAAAGGTTATGTAAGTCCTGCGGGAACTCCTTCAAAGGCAGCTTCTTCTGCTTTGTCTTTTTTGCTAGAGGGCACATGCGCTCACAAGAGTCAGAGAGACCAAGAGGGAGGTGCTTTCTCCTCTCCATGGGGAATGGTCACACTGCAATCTTCTCTCCATTTTTCTACCCTGTTGGGATTTGGGGCACGCATGTGCACACACCCAGTGTGTTTCTCAAGCCACCAACTCCAAGACTTAAATGCACAGTGAGTCCTGTAGGATCCAGCTGCCTTAAATACTAGGGCACAAAACTGACCCCAGATTAATTCTTTCTTTTTTCTTTTTTCTTTTTTTGAGAGGTTTTTGCTATAGGACGTGTGCTCTCACCAGAAAGACAGAGAAAGACAGAGAGACAGAAAGCAAGAAATCACCCCCCAGAGGGGATGGCCACGCCGCAATCCCTTCTCCTCCGTTCTCCTCTTGGGATCTTGGGCACGCATGCACACGCGCCCGGCGTGAGTTTAAGCCACCAGGTCTGGGACTTGAACCATGGTCAACTCCATAGGAGTCCAGCGATATAGCCATTACGCCAACTGCTGGTTCCCCTTACTCTCCTTTTTAAAGAATTATTTAATTAACTAATTTATTTATTTTAATTTGACCAGAGAGAGAGAAGGAAAATGAGAAAGCAAGTCACCAGGTCTGGGACTTGAACCATGGCTGGCCATGTGGGATTCCAGCACCTTAACCTGCTGGCCCCAGTTTTTTTTTTAAATGTTTGTTTATTTATTTCTTCTGCTGGGAGTAAACGAGACTGGCTCTGCAGGGTCTTCACACTGCAATCCGTCCCCAGCCAGCTCTGCATCGTGGACACACCCATGTCCCATGTATATAGGGAGACCTCAGGGTGCGAACCTGGGACCTTCCTACATGGGCTCAGCAGAGCAGAGCATTCACTATGCTGTGCCCCCATGGGTGGCCCAGACGGATTCTGATTCAGGAGGTCAGGAGTGGGACCTGGGAGTTTGCCCTTCTGACAAACCCCCAAGGAGTTTAGTGCTGTCACCGCCACTGTCACCACCCCACACGAGTAGAGAGGAGTAGACACTGTGCTTGCGTTTTCACTCCCGATCGCATGTAAGGCTCATAGCAACTTTGGAAGTGAGGGGTATTTTTAGCAAATGAATAGATGAGGAAATGGAGGCACAGAGTCAGCGCTCCCCATCACCAGCCCATCCTTAGTGGAGCCAAGGCTCGAACCCAGGCCTGCCTGACTTCAGACTCCAGGCTCTCTCCGCTCCTTTGGTTCTACATTGTGGGCCTCAGAGTTCCCGTCCCCACCAGGCATGCTGAATCAGAATCCGCATTTGAACAAGATTCTCCAGGTGACTTACAGGCCCTTTGGGGTTTTTTTAGAGTTATTTTATTCAATTTTATTTACTTATTCATTCATTTATTTTAATTTGATCAGAGAGATAGAGAGAGAGAGAGAGAGAGGAAAGTGAGAAAGCAAGTCACCAGGTCCGGGACTCGAACCAAGGTCGGCCACATGGAAGCGTCCAGCACCTTAACCACCACGTCACCTGACAGTCCCCTGGATTTTTAAAAAAATTTATTTATTCATTCAATTATTATCATTATTATTATTTAATTGGATCAGAGAGAGACACAGAGAGAGGAGGAAAGAGGGAAAATGAGAAAACAAGCCACCAGGTCTGGGACATGAACCATGGTCGGCCATGTGAGAGTGTCTAGCACTTTAACCACCATGCTGGTCCCTGGATTTTTTTTTTTTTTTTTAAGAGAGACTGTTTTTTTTATAGCGTGCATGCTTTTGCAGGAGAGACAGAAAGTGAGAAATCAACCCCCAAAGGGGATGACCACATCACAATCCCTTCTCCTCTTAGGATTTTAGGCACATACGCACACGTGCCCAGTGTGAGTTTCAAGCTGCTGAGTCCTGGACTCGAACTGTGGTCGACCATGTGGGAATCCAGTGACGTAACCATTAGACCATCTGCTGGTCCCAGAATTATTTATTTATTTTTAGACTTTTGCCATAGTGCTATGTACTTTGGAGAGAGACACACAGAGACAGAGAGGGAAAGTGAGAAATCACCCCCCCTCCGCCCCAGGGAAGATGGCCACTCTGCAATCCCTTCTCCATTCTCCAAAAGTGTGGGAAGCCCTGCCTCAGCAGGCTTTAAGACTAGAGCAGCCTCCGTGGTTGGCAGAGGGGGAACGGGAGGGAGAAGGAGTGGGGAGTTTGTACCCTGTGCTGGGGTGAGGGCAGGAGCAGACTCTCATCGTGGTACCCACCCGCCCCCAGGCATGTGACCGTGAGGACCTCGGTAGTGACCCAGCAGCTGCTGTCGGAGCCCAGCCTGGAGGCCTCCAGGGCCCGGCCCTGCCGAGTGAGCACAGCGGATCGGAGTGTGCGGAAGGGCATCATGGCGCACAGCCTCAAGGACCTTCTCTGCAAGGTGAGGGTGGTCCTGAGCTGCCCAACCCCTGGGCACCCATAACACAACCATTAAAACCAGGAGACAGACAGCTGCCTCTGTCCTCCAGTCAGGAGCTCGATTCAGCAGGGATCAGGTCGGGGTTCAGATGGTGAAAAGGTTTCCTTTCTGATGCCAGCACCAGTGGGTTGGTGCCTGCCTGGAAAACGGTCCGATTGATGAGTGAATATGTCCCCTGACAGGCGGAGGGCAGTACACTGCCATCCTACACAAACAGCAAGTTGGTGATGTTTTCAGGGCATATTTTTCTTTTTAAAAGAATTATTGGGACCAGCAGTTAGTGTAATGGCTATGTCGCTGGACTCCCACGTAGTCGACCATGTTTTGAGTCCGGACCCGGTGGCTTAAACTCACGTCGGGTGTGTGTGCGTGCGTGCCCAAGATCCCAAGAGGAGAATGGAGGAGAAGGGATTGCGGTGTGACCATCCCCTCTGGGGGGTGATTTCTCACTTTCTGTCTCTCTGTCTCTGTCTGTCTGGCGAGCGCACGTGCCCTATAGCAAAAACCTCTCCAAAAAAAAAAAAGAAAGAAAAAGAAAAAAAAAAAAGAACTATTTATCGGGACCAGCAGTTGGAGTAATGGCTATGTCTCTGGACTCCCGTGTAGTCGACAAAAAAATAAAATAAAATAAAATAAATCTCCAAAAAAAATACAAATAAAAGAATTATTTATCTAACTTTATTTATTTATTATTATTCAATTTGACCAGAGAGACAAAGAGAGAGAGAGAGAGTGAGAAAGCAAGCTGTCAGGTCTGGGACTCGAACTATGGTCAGCCATGTGGGGATCTAGTGCCTTAACCACCATGCCACCTGCTGGCCCCCAGGGGATATTTTTCTTGCTGGTGAGACTTTTATGATCTCTTTCCAGCAGTTCTTAAACTCATACTAGTGTCTGGGAATTGGGGAATTGAGCAGGATTTTAAAGAACCCCTTCTCTATTACTTACTTTCAGCCAGGGCAGTGCGAGGAGTCCGGTGCCTTTAACCACCATGCCACCTGCTGGCTCCATAGACTTCGTATTGTTTTTCACCCTGGGGCCGGGGGACCACCTCTTGCATTAAAGTTTTACCTTATTACACATGGCTACCCAGACCACATCCCCAGAGATTAATTAGCTTATAGCCAAGGCCCGGGAGTTTCCCTTTTTAATATTTTATTTTTATTTAGCTTTTTTTTTTTTAATCTATTTTATTTTGACCAGAGAGAGAAAGAGAGAGAGAGAGAGAAAGTGAGAAAGTAAGCCACCAGATCTGGAACTTGAACTGCGGTCAGCACGCTTAGCCACCATGCCACCTGCAGGGCCCCCCAATTTCATTTTTTGCTAGAGGGTATGTACAGTGGTCAGACAGAGAGGAAGAGGAGAAAGTCCCCCCCATGGGCAATGGTCACGCCATAATCCCCTCCTCTCTACCTCATCCTCCTTTCGGGATTTGGGAACACACACACATATCCCTGGTATGTATCTCCAGCCTCCCACATCTGGGACTTGAACTGCAAGGTTGGCCATGTGGGACCCACCTCCCTTAACCACCAGGTGATGGAGCTGGCCCTAGGAGTTGTCCTTTCCAGCAGGTACTTTGGGAGGTTCTTAGACCGAAGTTCGACTCCCTAGGACTCAGAGTCGCTTCTCCAAGGGATGCAGAGAGGAACACCAGAGAGACTGCATGTTTTCAGGATGGTAGCTAGGGCAGAAATGAACCTCACTGACAGATCGAAGGACACGGGGCTCTCTCGATCGCTGTTCCAAGTTTGGCAGCAGAAAGGAAGGGGTCAGCAAGAGTGAAGGGACAGGGAACCAGCAATTAGCGTAATGGCTATGTCGCTGGACTCCCACGTAGTCGACCCTGGGTTGCGTCCCGGAGCCGGGGCTTAAAACTCACGCCGGGTGCGTGTGCGTGCGTGCCCAAGATCCCAAGAGGAGAATGGAGGAGAAGGGATTGCGGTGTGACCATCCCCTCTGGGGGGTGATTTCTCACTTTCTGTCTCTATGTCTCTCTCTGTCTGTCTGGCGAGCGCACGCGCCCTATAGCAAAAACCTCTCCAAAAAAAAAAGAGTGAAAGGACAAAGGTATGGTGATGTGGTCGTCGCGAGCCAGAGCATGACGTTCTCTTTTCCTTGACAAAGAGCAATTGGGTTTCATTTAAATAAATAATAGGAAATCACTGGAGGATTTTTCTCTTTAATTGCCAGAGGTACATGTGCTGGCCAGGCAGCAAGGGAGAGAGAGAAAGTATCCCGCTAGTGAAGTACGGTCACACCACAATGCCTTCTCCTTCATTTCTCCATCCTTCCAGGACTTTGAGGACACACACACACAGCTGGGATGTTCTGTTTGTTTAGAGAGATTTTTGCTATACAGTGCATATGCTCGCACGGGACAAAGCAAAACAGAGAGAGGAAAAGTGAGAAATCACCCACCATGGAGGATGGCCACGCCATAATTCCTCTCCATTCTCCTCTTGGGATCTTGGGCATGCACGTACACACGCCCAGCGTCAGTTTCAAGCCAACAGGTCCAGGACTCAAACCACGGTCAGCCATGTGGGAGTCCCGTGACTTAACCACTATGCCACCTGCTGGCCCTTTGTGTGTTTTAACTAACACAAAGCAGTTTTAAGTTAAGCGGTGCAAGGACACGACAAAACTAGTCATGAGTCGTTTGAGAGTAATTTGCCAACCCGCTGCCTAGTACCCTTGGGTACTTCAGTGTATATGTCTGCAAACAAGGAGATTCTCCCATGTAACCATAACACAACCATTAACAGGGGGAAACATAATTCACCGGCACTACAATTTAATCCCGAGACTTCCTTCGAGCATTGCCAATTGTCCCAGTAAACATCCTTTGTAGCAAAAAGTCAGGGCCAAGTGTTTACTTGTCCCTTTAGTGCCTCCAGACTCGAACAGCTCCATCTTTGACTTTTTAGACCTTGACTGTTGGGAGACGATAAGAAAGTTCTTTTGCTGACTGTTCTTCAGTTTGGAACGATCTTTCCTGTACATCTTTGGCGTGCATATGATAACAATGGATTGTCATTGCAAAATGATGGACGGCTTGTATTTGTCGCATCATTATTTGACTTTGATCATTTGGATAAGGTGACACACCAGGCTTTCCCCTCTAACATTATACTTTTTCCCTTTGGGCTCATTATTTCCAGGGCTGTATTAACTTTCAATGTATTCATTTATTTATATCAAATTTATATCAAAAAGAGATTCCGATATAGCCATGTTAATGGAACATAATGAAGGTAACACATTATTTATGAACGCTCAGATTAGCCAGGACACCCTTCGCCCTGCGTCCTTTTGCTATCATTCTAGTGCTTGCTTGCTTGCTTTTAAAAAATAAAATCCAGAGAGCATGTGTGCTCAAGAGAGAGAGAGAATGAGGGAGAAAACACCCTCCAATGGGGTGTGGTAATGCTGCAGTCCCTTCTCCATTTTCCCATTTCTCCACCCAGTGGGCATTTTGCCCACACATGTATGTGCCTGGTACATTTTTCAAGCTGTTGATTCTGGGACTTGAACCGGGTGGTCAGCCACGTGGGATCCAGTTCCCTTAATCATTAGGGCACAGGGCCAGCCCCACTTTAAGTATCTTTTTAAAGTTCATTTATTTCTTCCAAGAGTGAGAGAAATGAGAGAGAGAGAGAGAGACAAAGAGAGAGTGAGAGAGGTAGAGATAGCATCCCCACCAGGGTCTCCATGCCATGATCCATTCCCGACTCAGCAAGCCCCAGAGCGTGAGCATGCCTATGTCTGACATATTTAGGGAGTCTCTAGACATGAACCTAGAACCTTCTCCTACAAGGTAGCCTCGTGTTTACTACTGTTTTCCTACCCGCCCCCTGAATGATATACTTTATAATGGTGACTTTTATGGAATGTAAATGATCCCTTGATAAAAAATGACATTTGAACTCCCATTGTATTTTCTTAGCACTATTCTGGACCTGTTCATCCCAAATCCAAGTACCAAGAGATATCATGGCACTCCCACAGGAGAGGGCCTAGACCTGGCCCCCTGCCCTTGCCCTGGCAGCTGAGGTGCTATGACGTGGGTCTTCCCCACGGCAGGTCCGTGGCTCCGTGGGCATGGTGGAACCATCACTACCTTATTCCCCAGGTCCAGGACACCCTGATGCTGGAAGACAAGCCCTTCTTCCTGGTGCTGGAGGAAGATGGCACAGTTGTAGAGACGGAAGACTATTTCCAAGCCCTGGCAGAGGATACAGTATTCATGGTTCTCCAGAAGGGGCAAAAGTGGCAGCCCCCATCAGAACAGGTGAGTCCCACCCAGAAGAGGGAAAAAATGGGGAGCCTGGGAGAAGCCACTGAGGGGTCCTAACTACATATTTGTCTCAACGTAGGGGAGTCGGTACCAGCTCTCCCTCTCTCAAAAGCCGGCCAAGAAGATTGATGTGGCCCGTGTAACCTTTGACCTGTACAAGCTGAACCCACAGGACTTCATTGGCTGCCTGAACGTGAAGGCGACCTTCTACGACACCTACTCCCTTTCCTATGATCTGCATTGCTACGGGGCCAAGCGCATCATGAAGTGAGTGAACCAGAATTAGCTGGGGACCGGGTGGTGGGGAGTCAGGGGACAGCCTCTGTCTGTTCACACGACATCAGCCTCCTCAGATGGGTCAGCCTTGGTGCCAACAAAGAGTAAGGTCCGTGTTTGTGCAGAAGTTTGACTTATTGGGGCCGGCAGGTGGCATGGTGGTTAAGGGTGCTAGACTCCCACATAGCCGACTGCGGTTCGAGTCCTGGACCTGGTGGCTTGCTTTCTCACTCTCTCTCTCTCTCCCTACCTCTCTGG